CATAAGTCATAATCTTTGAGTCTTTCCTATTTTGGAAATAGGAATGACAACTTCTAGTCATTCTGTTGAGGGGTGGTTGAGGGAATGTATAGAGTCCAAATTATTGACCACAACCCAAGCAAGATGCACCCATTTTCTAGGGACCTTAGGGTTGCTGGCCTCTTGTTTCCCAGGCTGTCTTCTGGGGTAGGGGCCTGCTGCACTGTTACTCAGGCAACCCTGTTTGGGCAGAGTTGCCCTGCCCCCTGTGGCGGGGGATGGGCTCAGTGGAAACCAGTTTTGGTGGGCTTTTGTTCTCTGGCAGCTTTCCACATCTCTTCTGAGAGTCAGAGCAGACGAGACCGTTTCCAACCCTCTGCCTCAGAGCAGAGAGATCACAGTCTGCTCTTCAGTGAGCTCTCCAGGCCACATTATCTCCATTTCTGTCTGTGCTGCTATAAACTGCGGCATCCTGGGTTGTGTGCCCCTCAGCTGCACTCCCAGTCCTCGCCTCCAGGCCGGGGCTCATCTCTGCCCTTTGTGCTTCTAAAACCACCAGCCACCCCCAGTTCCCACATGTGGCCCCGCTGCCCTAAAGTCCTTTCCCCACCACTACCAGTCTGCTAGTCTGTGCCTGGTCCCCAGCGCTGGAGGCTATCGCTCACTGGCAGTGTTGGATCCCCATGGCCAGGCTCCCTCCCGCTGCTGTTTATCCTCCAATATCTGCCCGTGGAATCACCGCTCCCTGCTTCATACCTCAAAACCAACCGCCTGTGAGATTATGTTTGTAGAGATCCAGATCTGTCTTCTTACATCTCAGGCTGATTCCGTGGGTGTTCAGAGTGGTCTGGTAGATACCCAGCTCAATTCCGGGGACCAGTTGGAATAGAGTTCCATACCCCTCCGCCATCTTTTCCCCAAAAATATAAATTCTACATTTTAGATAAAACAGACAAATTACCCAAAAATCACAAACTATCAAAAATCACTCAAGAAGAAACAGATAACTTGGATAGCCCTATATTTGTTAAAGAATTTAATTTGTAGTTAAAAACTCTCCCACAGGGGCACCTGGGTGGCTCAGTTGGTCAAGTGTCTGCCTTCGGCTCAAGTCATGATCCCAGGGTCCTAATAATAGCAACTTTTATTCAGAAATAGTGAGCTTCAAAGAAGCAGGGTATAAGTGACTTAGAGATCCTGTGACTTTTTTTTTCTACTTTCTGATGTGTCATGAACGTAAGAATGGCTGGGGAAAAGCTTAAAGCCAGATTATAACAAAAATCAGCCTCTAGAGGGTGGTGCTAAAGTGCTCTAGGGCTGACTGAGAGGGCTGGGAAGGCAAACTTGCTCCCCTGAAATAAGTTGTAAACAAATTGTTTTCAAAATGCGACCCTCTTCTGAGGCCCCCTAAATTCCTCTTCCAAAGAGGTGGGAGCCATGCAGATGAAAGCCGGGGCATCTGGTCCTTTGATAGAGGCAATCAGTGGAGTGCTGATAAATGTTTAACCACCAGCTGGAGCCAGACCCTGATCTGCAGCATTTGCCAATTTCCATGGTGTAAATATTCCCACCCAGGCCTGTTTCATGCTCCCAATGTGATGGCCCTGAAGACTCATTTGAGTCTCTCCAGCACACCCCCGGATGAAGCTCAAGTGCACGAGCTCTGGAGACAACACTAGGGGTTCATACTCCAGCTCTGGCAGTTAGTAGCTGTGGGACCTCAAGAAGGGTTACTGATTCCTCCTTGGGCTCCACATTCCTATCTGAAAGGTAGGTCACAGGATTACTGTGAAGAATAAATGGATTCATCAATTTTACATAAAACAGCACGTGATAAACGATCAGTAACCATTAGCCATTTAGAGTGATGTTGTTGTTATTTCTGTAACCAAAGCGGAAGAATGGCTATGGCTTCTCATATTAAAAGAAAAGAAAAGGCAGAGTAAGTATTACATAAATAATTTTGCAGCAAGGGAAACAGCATTTAACTCATACCTAGGTAATGCATCTCTCAATTGTTCCCTATAATTAATACAAATCTTCCTCAACTTATAATGGGGTTACATCCTGATAAACTCATCATAAGTTGAAAATATCCTATGTCCAAAATGCATTCACTACAGCTAACCTCCCAAACATCATAGCTTAGCCTGGCCTAACTTAAACGTGCTCAGAACAACTGCATTCACCTACACTTGGGCACAGTCATCTAGCAAAAAGCCTATTTGATAATAAAGTGTTGATTCTCTCATGTAATTGATTGAAACTGTGCTGAAAGTGACAAACAATGGCTGTGTGGGTGCAGAAGGGTTGTCAGTGTACTGTTTGCTGTTTGTCCACCCTCATGATCGGGTGGCTGACCCGGAGCCCTGGGTGCTGCTCGGCATCCCCAAAGAGGATAGTCCCGCATAACTCCAGCCCGGGAAAAGATCCGAATTCAAAATTCAGTGTACAGTTTCTAGTGGATGCATACAGTAAGGTCAAAAAATCATAAGTTGAACCATCGTGGGGACTGTATATATAAAGTTCACCTATAAAAGAGCTCTAGTGTTAGTGAGAATTTGACATGACAGGGTATGGGCAGGAATTCTGATTTCTCTCTATTGCGTCTTCCTGGGAAGAAGCCTGACTATGACCTGTGCATCTAGACATTCATTCAACACTCACTGAGTGCCTATCATGTGCCCCCTGCCCCCCAAGCCTACAGACACACCGGAATGGAGCTACAGCACCCACAAGGGAACACACAGCCTCTCTGAAGTTAGCCAGAGAGACAAGAGATCAGTGATTGGATTCCTCAGACAGTGTCAGGCAAATTCTACCTTGATTCCTCTACAGACGTCAAATTTCTCTGCTCAGTTGGCCCACTGAAAGGATTTTGCTCATTCCGTGTTGTTCCCTCTTTTCTCTAAGACTTCAGATCTCGTGGAGGTTCCTGAAGAACCTGACGGGCCAGGAGGTGGGTATGACCCACGGAAACGCAGCAACAGTGGTGAGTGAGCGAGCGGGGGCGGGGGAAAGGCATACCCCCAGCAGGGATGTGAAGGGCACTGCTCATCCTGGGCCGTGGCCAGGGAAACTTGACTTCCAGTTCTCTTCTTTCTCTGCTAGCTCTGGAATTCAGTCTGAGCAGGTGTTTAGTATTCTGGAGGGAAACTGGGCATAATTCCTAGTGGATCTCCGTGATTTGACTGCAACTTTCCCTGAGTTCTCATTCCTTATGGACTTAGCTACATTGGGGTCTAGGAGTCACTTCTGGACCTTTTTGTTAATACATCATTTCCCCCACTGACCTACATTAGATTAGCAAACCATTCTGGAAAGAAGCCACTCCCTTGCTACAGCTGAAGTACCCCAGACCAGGTGGGTGGTGAGGTTGCCAGGTGAGTACCGGCCTCACACATGGCTCTTCCCCAGCACAGATAACTAAGACTCAAAAACTGATCTGTATGATCTAGCCAAATATTCTATATAGATGTTATTTCATTTTCTCATGGCTTAGGCCCTTGTTAACAATCATTTCTAGAATTTTTATTGAATGCTAATTACATACTGTTGCTTGCTAACGTTAAGAAAGAACAACCTCTTAAACCAGAGTTTAAAGAAACAACCAGCCCCTTATGGAGGAATCTTGCCGAGCCTCTCTGATGTCAGCAACTACTTAATCTCCACTCATTTATGCAAAAGGTATTTATGAAGTATTTACTATGACCGGCAAAAGTACCTGAGTCACCAGGCTCTCCTCAGGTCTCTCATAACCTAGCCAAGTTGCGGGTTCTGATTTGCATTGTTAACCTGGGCTGAATGCGTTCTCCTGGTGGAAATTATCCCTGCATGGGAAGCATGGGGATGTGCGGCCTTGGGTAGATTTTTCACTTGGCTCGTCGCCTCTGCCCTTTCCAGACTGGAAGCAGAAGGTCTGCATTCAGTACCCCAAAGCTGCTTTCTCAGCAACTGTCTTATAAGGTATCTCTTCCATTTCCTTAGCTCTAGGAGTTCATTTAAGTCTCTTCTCTAGTTAGGATGGTGTCTCTGTGATTCCCACATGAGAATCCTCTGTGATTCTCCTTCCTAAATAAGCATCAATGTTCACCATGGCCCCCTTGCCAAGCCCACTCACATCTGCTAGAGTGCACTGCTAAGCTAAGGATTCTTTGGCATCACATAGAGAAAACTGCACTTTCAGATCAATGTAAACATTCACTGAGCACTTAGCAGTGTCATTAGAGAGACAAATTAGAGTGCCGGTCCCCAGGGGAACCTCACAGTGGGGCAGTAATGCTACAGGGCCACCCAGCCCAAGTCTGTCTAACACCGCAGATACGGCAACTGAATTTGGCCAGAATTCTTCAGCATCTGAGCACGAACTCACCAGACACAGGTATTAAGCCAGATCTTCATGTTAACACTTCAAGTCTGGTCAGCTGCTCTGTCCTCTGAGTCTGACTTCTGCCTACATCCTTCCCTGACATGTCTCACCAAATTGCTCATCACTAACTGCATGGACATATTTGGTCCTCAGCCCCTCCTTGCTCTGGAGGCTGACCACTGGACTTCACTCAGTGGTCACGTGGCCTCAAAGCAATGACCTGGTCTCTCTGCGTCAATCTCCTCATCTCTGAAATGAAGATAATGATAGTACCGAATCCATAAGGTGCTGTGATCATTAAATGAAATAATGAATGTAAATACTATACATACATTGATGAATCTGAAACTTCAGGCCCCTCTGCTGCCTCCAGATGCCTATCGCCCACTGGACATGGCCATCTGAATGCGGAGCAGGCATCGTGACATTAACACACCCAAACTGGACTCTTGATTCACTCACCTACCCACCCACCCCAACCGGCTCTTCCCCGTTTGTCCCTGCTCAGTAAATAGTAACTCCGTTCTGCTAGTCAGTCTTACTCCAGGTCAGAACTTTTGGCATCAGGCTTGACTCCACCCTTCTTCTCACGTCTTGTAGCCAATCTGTCAGTAAATCTTACTTTCTAGTCTTCAAAATCATTCCCGGCATGTGCCTACTGCTTACCTCTCTGCCTCAGGCATCCCAGCCAGCAATATTGGTGCTCTTGCTCACCTCTTCCTAAGTAGTTAAGGTCTCTGTTTGCCCTGGAGATTTCTTTACTCAGAAAGTGGTCTTTGATAAGTCTTTATGTGAAGGAGTTATATTTGAGAATCATCAAAGTGAAGCATGTTTGCTTGTAATAAACTCATCATGAGGTCATCAAGTGTCAAAGGCGCAACCTAGAGCCTCTCCACTCTCAAGTGTGGCCCATGGACCAGCAGCCTGGACATCACTAGAGAGGCTGATAGAAATGCAGAACCTCAGGCCTTTCCAGAGCTGTAGAATGATAATTTGAATATTAATCTTATTAAAGTTCAAGAAGCAGGATGAGAAGTCGTCTAGTCCAACTCCCTCCTCTCCAATACACACAACACCCATACATACACACACAAACACATACCGTGTGGATAAGGAAACTGAGGCAAGATGTAATACACTCAAAGACACAAAGTTGAATATTTGCCATTTCTTTTATGTTAAGAGGCATTTTTAGAGCCTCATTCAAAGAAATCTGTTGAAAGAACTTAGCAAGCAATAAACCTCTGTAAAGCTTTGGGGATCTATTAGCTATTCCTTTGATCAGCAATAGCTTTCTTTACAATGCACCCTTGGAAGCTGGAGGGATTAATTATGCAGCAGTTTGCTTCAAAACAGGTTCTTGTGATTGGATTTAATCCCCTGTCCATGCAGTTTGGGAAACAACGCAGAGAAAACACCCTGCTTGTGTGTCCAGGCTCCCACTGGTCTCCCCACAGTCATGGCATGGAGGGTGCTGGCTTTTCAGAAGCAGCACTTGGCTTCCGGTCACAAGCTGTTCTGCATGACACGTTTCGTTTATGTTCTAAAAATTACACAGTGCATACAGGTGTTGTTTCTGCCAGCCAAGTGTCATGTCAAAATCCTTGAGGAGGATTTCCAAAGGCACCTTGGAAGAGGTTACAGTTCATACTCCTTTCTTTTTTACCAAGCATGCAGTCTCTGTTTTCTCTCTCATGAAAGATGTTGGGCAGGTCTGACTGTTTCTGGTTGTTGTTTTCAACACTATTTGTGGATGCATCAGAAATACAGAGGGGAGAGTTGCTGTCTTCACCTTTGGCCAGAAACTCCACTTGAAGCAATGTGATGAGCAAAGGGAGAAGTAAAATCTAGGCTGCCTATTTCAGCTCAAAATGCCAAATAATGACGTTATTGGCTGCCTTCAATAATTGCATTTCAGTGTGACTTCTATGCGATTATAAATTTCCTGGAAGAGAAGCAGAGGGAAGAGAACATAAGTAAGACAAATACCTAGAAATATTCTTCAAAAAGAACTGGGTTAATCACATCCACTGGAGGATATTACAAAGCCCAATGATACCTTACTTTTCACTGAAGCAATGAAATTTTGCCCAGAAAGGAAAAAAGCAAGCTCGGATTTGGAAAATTTATCCTTGCCTTTAACATGCACTGATTTTATATCTCACATTTTGATTTGTCACCCAGAAAAGGAAGCAAATATTTTAATGCCTTCTTTGACAGATACCCTAGTATCTAGATGTCTCATATCTAGAGCAGGTAAAGGTCTTTTTAAAAGCATAGAGGACTCTCTTTCCAGCTATGTGGAGGGCTGGATGTTTAGAGAAATTTTTTTCTACTTTAGCACACCTAAAATTGCTGGGAAAAAGAATTAAAAAGAAAGTTCCAGTTAATGAGTGCCTGAGCTGGCAGCAACATAAGGCAATTCCTTAGAGTCTAGAAATGACAATAAAGCATGAATCCAGAGACATAAGCAGGTGAAGGCTATTGTTTATTCTGCACATCCCTGGGGCCTCAGATTGGGGAAGAATAAGCTCCTTATATGGTCAATAGGGAACAAGACCTGGCGAGCAGGCAGAGTAATAGGTTCGATGAGAGGCCCTTTGGGAAAATGCTGATACCCCAAAAGGCACCCTTAGTAGCAGTAGGAAAAAAGAATGCCCTGCAGAGGAATTTAGTAAAGAAAAATGCTATATTGGCCTTAACTCAAGTGGGGAAGAAAAGAAAGAAATGGAATAAGAGCAGGAAGAAAGAAAAAGAGAAAACAAAGGAGGGAAGAAACTCTTAATTTGGTTTAGGGCCTGAATTCATACTACCTCTGTGGACAAAGTAAAATAATTTAAAATTTTAGTTGAATTTCTTTAAAGTGGCCCAGTTGGATAAATGCACCAGACATTTGGCAGAAGTAATACAAATGGTCTCTGGAGGAAGAGAATTTAAACCCAGACCTCAGAAGTTTCCACAAATGAACTTCCAAAGGACATGAGCTAAAAATTGAAATACACCAAATACATGAGAAAATGAGCTACCATGTGTAAGAGTTAGCCAAAACCACCTTTTTTATGATCAGACTTCAGAGATTATATATGTTTGAATTATCAAATAAAGAAATATCTTACTAGGGATGCCTGGGTGGCTCAGTCAATTAAGCATCTGCCTTCAGCTCAGGTCATGATCCCAGTGTGGGACTGAGTCCCACATCAGGCTCCCTGCTCAGCAGGGAGTTTCCTTCTCCCTCTCCTTCTGCCTGCTGTTCCCTCTGCTTGTGCTCTCTCTCTCTGTCTGTCAAAGAAATAAATAAAATCTTAAAAAAAGAAATATCTAACTATATAGTTATATATATTTAAAGATATAAAAAATGGACTAGAACACACAACAAAAAAGACACTATCAAAGTTGAACAGGCAAATTTTAAGAAAACCAAACAGAACTTTTAGAAATTAAAAAAAGAAGAAGAAATTTGCTTGTTGGATTTAATAGCATATTAGATATAGCTGAAGAGAGAATTAGTGGCATGGAATACATAGGCAAAGAAATTTCTTACTGTAGAGCCAGGGAGACAAACCAATAGAATTCATGACTTGAAAGAGACACAGAAGATGAGCAGGAAAGTCCAACATGCATCT